AAGTCTAAACTGGTAAAAGGCTACAGCTAGAACCAGGTTTGTACGAATATTGAATAAAGATATATGCAAGCTAGAATAGGGATATAGTGTAGTATAGTTAGATATTATGATATTCATCTGTTAGAGAGTATTGAAGTAGGATTTATTCAGATAAGACCTGGAACTATAATAGTAAAGTTTATGACTAATATCAGCTTGGGTACCTCCTAATGTGAAGTAGCACAGAGTTAGAGTTAACTATAAGAGTAATACTTTTGGTAAATAGAATAGGACCAGAAAGTTTAAATAAGAAATCTTCTAAAAGATTTCAGGTATAGTAGCTAGTATAGAACCTTCAGCTAGACTACTTAAAATAGATAATCTAAAATTGTACGTGTAGCTAGTTGTACTCTCACAATATGTATCACTTCTGAAATTTATGAAATTAATAAAGTTAGCTAATAGTATTTGTATAAAGTAAAAAAAAAAAAAAAAAAAAAATATAATATACTTTCAATAATATCTCAGAATTTTATTAAGCAAACAACTCTTGTCTATTTAAAGAGTTTAATTAAGCTCAGTATTGGCTTCATTTTGATACAAAAATATCAAAATCGAACTAAAACTAACAGATTTATAGTAGAAAATAGCTTTAAAGGCTTTTTAAAATTCTTTAAAAAATTCTTGTTCTTTTTTCTTTTTTCCTGCCTTCCTCCTGTCAAATTGGAGTATAAACATGTTTCAAATCAACTAAAATTAGTCATTTATCTGTGGATAATACTAATTTAATTATTTTTAATTCAAGTTCTTTTTAATTTAGTACAAAATTAATTATTTACATATTTGTATTCTTTCTAATTTGTACAAAGTACAAATCTAATTTTAGCTTAGTTATACATACTTTTATTTCTGTACTATACTAGTTTCATTAGCTACACCAGCTACTAAGCCACATTAGCTACACCTATTACTAAATTGATAATACAACTAGTATTATATTACACAAAACAAATTATACCTTATCATAAAGCTCTCATCGAGTATATCACTTCTACTAATATACAAATCTAAAATTAAAATCTTATCATACCTACTCTAGTTAATACTACTTCTGATTCCTATAATATTAACTATAACTTCACCCACTACTCTAATTATTATAGAATTGGCTTTATTGAATTAGATTCTAGCAAATTTCATATTCTTTCAGCCTGCTTCAACTCTTAGAAATATGATCCTTCTAAAAACTGATACTATATACATATTTCTCAACAACTTCAAACTATAATATGTTTATGCAACAACTATTATAACTTTTACCTCCCAAAGATTCAAATATTCTGAAGTTTCTTAACTATCTACTTTTACAGAATCTACTACTATTTAATAAAAGTGATCTTTTTCCTCAATCTCCAATCAAATTAAATTCACAATTAACTCCTACTCTTCTTTTTTCTTCTGTTACTTTTATCTTTGCAAAAAATATCAATTTATCTATAGTTCAAATTACTATTTATACTTATTACTCCTATACTTGTACAATTTGCTAAAAACAAAATATTACCTACGCAGTTCTTTTTGATTCAAAACATTTCTATAACTCCTCTGCAATCATTATCAAAAAGAGACTTATTCACAAATTCTGCTTTGAAAAAATGAAAATTTTAATCAAGCAAACTCAACTATGTAACCTTACTTGCAAATAAAAACTTATTTTTGGTATTATCAAATTTATTACTAAAACAAAAAAAGAAAACTAAAACTTCTTCAAACATATCTTACAAATATTTAACAAAAGCAAAAAAACCATAATCTATTTGAGATACTTCAAAAGATCTGAACTAGTTTGCAGAATTCCTATTATAGAAGAAATAGAACTATTCACACAACTAAACAATCCTCTTATTGCAAAATTTTTTAGCTTTATTAAACCTCATCTGATTAATTTTAAACCTAGCCAAAATTATCAACAAACCTATTCACAAGCTGCAAATAGGATAAAATATAAAATAATAGAAGATAGAAGATAAAAGATACAAGATATAAGAAAGAAAATAAAAGATAAAAGAAGAAATTAGATGTTACAAGCTAACTTAAAGAAATAGTTGAAAGCAAAAGAGGAGAGAAGAAACTTATAATAAAAGAAGGGGAAGAGAACTTGAACTTATATTAAGAAAAGAGAAATTATATTAAAAGAAGAGAAAGAGAACTTGTATTAAAAGAAGAGAAGAAGAACTTGTCCTGCCTTAGTAGAAATAGCAGAGTTTATATAGCTTTTTAGACATTATAGAATAGGAACCTAAACTTGGGAATCTTGGTATAGGAACCTAGTTTGGGAATATAATTTTGGAAACCTTGCTATAGAAACCTACTATGGGAACCTAATTATAGGAACCTAGGTTAGGAACCTAAAATAGGAACCTCAGATAAGAACCTTAGATAGGAACCTCAAGTTGGGTACCTTAGATTAGGAACTCCTAGATAAGAATCTCAAAATAGGGTCTTTCAGATTAGTACTTAATATTGTATGAACTCTAAAAAAACAGTTTTGTTTGAATTAAAGAGTTTGGTACAAGTAGGTTATGCTAAGTTACACAGAGTTATACAAGGTGTCCTGCAGCTTGTTGTTATACAAAAAATGTCTAAATAGTTAAAATTAATAGAAAAATATTATTCTAATAAAATATAATTAATAGAATTTAAATATTAGAATTTAACTACTAAAATTCATATTATAACACTATTCCCTCCTTGAAAAATTTTGCTTCGCAAAATTAAAATTAATGATAATAAAATTAAAATAAAAATAATTTTAATGAAAAATAAAAATTAAGGTAAAAATAAAATTAGAATAAAATATTTTTAAAACAATATATATATTTAAAGTGTATTGAAGTAAAAATAATAAAGTAGAGGTCTAGTGATCTTAGTGTAGTGGTTAGGTTGTCAGACTGCTATGCAAAAGGTCTGGGGTTCAAATCCCACTATCGACGAATTTGAATAATTACTCGGACCTTTGTACCCAACTTACAGTAAACCCTGTCCGTTTCTGGGGTTGTAACCCTGTAAATCACACTGCACTAATATCATCCGAATATTGAAAGTATGACAAGGCGTTTAGTGAGACATAATGTTACATGAATAAATCTTGATAGAATCTACAGGCAGGGGACCTGCATGGTAGAAATCCTGAGTTGGTGAAGTAGTACAGCCTTCAACAGTCATACTGGCTAACTCTTGATCCAGAAAAGAAACTATTGACGAAAGATGCAGATTGAGTTAGGTACATATAAATCCATTCTACAGGAAGGATCAGTAATACCAACCTGGCTTGGTGGCTAACTGAATTAGGAGGATCTGCCTCATGAAATATTCGAACAGATAGATACAGAAAACTAGTGGAGAGCTACAATAGAAACTAGGGTTGTACTAATATCTATAAGGTCTAAACTAGATGAATCTGTAAAATGAGTACGGACCACTCTAGTAGGTATGCTTCGAGGTTAACTGGCTCTGCAGTACCTACAATATATTAGGTACAATGTATCCCAAGAGGACCTAATCTATTTTGGATAAATAGATCTGTAACGAGCTAGCTGGCTTAAGCAGTTAGGTGTTGTAGTGATGTTAGGTTGTATCTGTATAGGTTAATGAACAGAGTATTTAAATAGGTAACTCACAGGTGGGTTACAGATATAGCAGCATAGTATAGAACTAATTGAGTAGTCTAATCGCCTGTGTAGCAGACTACTTAAATTAGATAATGACTAAAATTGTACGTATGGCTTGTTATACACTTTTTATATAATTATAAACAGTAGAGATTATCAATGTATAATCCTGTTGACAATTCTAATAAAATTCCTTCAGCAATATAAGCTACCTTAATAATATAAATAAAAAAAAAATAATAAAATAAAATAAAATAAAATAATAAATAATTTAATTAATTTGAATAAAAAGAAATCCTACTTAGTGCCAGTTCACTACTATAACTTGTCAGTAGATTAACTATCAACTAGCAGATATTAAACCTATGATTACTAGCCTCATAGTCCTAAATTCATACTACTTTACTAAAGCAGGCATATAATAAAATTTTTATATGCACTCCTTAAGAATATCTAAATTTGTTGACAAATAACTAATAAAATTAAAGATTTTCACGTGTTTAAAATTAAGGTTTGTTTAATTTAAAGGAGAAATTCAAGTATATTAACTTTGAATTAATTCAAAAATTAAATTTACTGACTAAAGAAAATGAGCAAGAGAAAGTATAGTTATCAGCATAGAAGAGAGAGGTTATCAAATAGAAGTATTAAGAAGTATTATAATAAAATAAAAAAATAAAAATAAAAATAAAAATATATTAAAAATAAAATTTTAACTTCAGAATTGAAAAAGAAAGAAAAGAAAAAGAAAAGAAAGATGAAGTAAGAAGGAGAGATATGGAGATTAGGTTTTTGAAACAAGAGTTGGATGAATTAAAAGAAAGAGAAAAATGGAGATACGAAGAAGAGATGTTTAGAAAAAGAAAAGAAAAAGGGAAAAAAAAAGAAAAAGATATGTCATTTATTTTAACAGAGAGGTAAAAAGAAGCAGTGTAGTTTAGGTTGAAAAATAATAGAGAGAGGTGTAATAAAATAGATTGTGAAAATAAGAAGTTGAAGAGAGATTTGATAGAGAAGGAGCTTATAAATATAGAGTTGTTTGAGAAGACTGATAAGTTAGAGAAGAATATAATAGAGGGTTTGGAAAAGCAGATAGAGGAAATGCTGATAGATATTGATGAAGAGAAAGTAAAATTAGAAAGTGATTTGAAGTTAGTGAGTAAAGAGATTAGAAGATTAGAGCAAGAGAATGAGGAATTAAAGAAAAGATGAGATGAGTAGTTCAGTGAAGAAAATACAGAGAGAAATAAAGAAGAAGATAAGTGAGATAAGAAAATTAGAGAGTTAGAGAAGAAAGTTAAGGAGTATGAAAATTTTTTAGAAGTAAAAGAAGTAGATATAGTTTATAAGATGATGATGAGTTATAAAAATAGTATAGAGAAAAAGAAAAATCAATTAGATCATATGCAGAAGAAATTTGATAGGTATAAAGTTTATCAAGAGAGGGAGAAGAAGAAATTAAGGGATAGAATAGGAGAGTTGGAAGATGAAATTTGTAGGATGCAATTAGGATTGTTGTAAATATTTTGAAATTATTAATAAATAAATTTTGTTTTAAAATAAAAATAATAAATATAGAAATATAGAATAAATAAAAGTAAAGTTAAAGTAAATGATATAAATAATTTAAAAATTTAGAAACAAAAAAAAAAATTTAAATTTTAATAAAAAAGAAATTTTAGAAAAATAAAAAATATATGTGTGTATTAAATTTAAACTTTAGAAATTACTAATATTTTGTTGTAAAAGATATTCAAATAATTTGTATTTTTCAAAAATAATT